ATTGACTTCATGGAGTGGCCAGCGACATCACCTGACCTCAAATTCATCGAACACGTATAAGCTGCTATTGGAAGACGTCTTCATACCTTGAAACGTCAATCCCAGAATGCTCAAAAGCTGGGCGCCATGTTGGTACAGCAATGATGCAGGTTGCTTAATGCTGTGTTCACGGGTACCAGGCAGTCGGTGAGACAACGTTGCCTTCCTGTTGCGATTGCGAGAGGGGACATACACGGAGCTCACGTCAATGCAGATGTCCAGTCCCTGTGCTCAAATAAACAAATAACACATGCATCAGTATGGCAGAAGAAAAACGAGTGGAATAAAGATTCGTAAGGAGCATAATACAAAAACAGTGACGTATACAATAAAGACAGAGATGGTGATATTCACCTCTAAGCAATAGTTACCCAACTTGCAAGAAAAGCCCAGGCAGATGAGTATCCAGGCTATCATAATCACCACACGTACTGCCAGTCCTTTTGAGATGTAATGTGTGGTAGTAGTGTTATAGTTGCAGGGCGACTTGGACTGACTGACTGAGTTTGATTTTACGCAGCGTTTAGCAATATTCCAGCAACATCACGGCGGGGGACACCAGGCGACTTGGACCAGAAGTAAAGTCTTTTTGCGCCCAACACATTAATTGAAGTTGAACTATATATATCCTAAATATAAGTAGGCCTACTGCAAATGTTTATATTTACCATGCAAACAAATGTATTCACTATCCAGATATTTTGATGAAATGACAGGATCTTCTGTTTAATGATATGAATTAAAACATCTTGCAACCACTTTTTGTTTTCGAAAAAACAACAACCAAAAAACACACAAAAATATGATGCTCGTTCAATAAAAAAGCAGGAAAATCAGACTGAAAAGGAAATGTTGAAACGATTTAATCGCAATAAATGAATGTGAGATAAGAGCAAGAGTTATCTCCCCTTGTATATGAAAGAAAACGAAGGATAATGCTAAGTGCATATGATCCTGTAGAAAGGGGGCACGCACCTAATAAAACCATCGGGCGGTTTAGCGTCAGTCAGCCATGGGGTAAGGCAAATACACAATTGTCTTTTAAATGACCAACGTTCGGGGGGGGAGGTAAACCTGCTTCAGTTATCATCAACACCAGCGCGTCGCCTTACTTATGTATTTGTGTTTGTGGGGAACATGACACAGTAATGACCTAATTATGCTAGGTCGTTCTGACTGGGTCACCTTGTTCCACATGCGATCGGCAAGGGTGAGGTTGTTTTCAGTGGCCGACCACCTCGGGATTATCCTATATGTAATCATGCTTTCGTCATCTGAATATCATCTTAACATGGTGGCTAATATCACATACATAAAGGATACTAAACGACCTTCCGTGGATTGTCAATATTAAACGAGTTAATAATTTGGTATCAAACGAGCGAAAGTGAGTTTTATACTAAATCTTTCACGAGTTTGATAAAAAGGATATTTCACGGAAGCCAGTTTAGTATTCTGTTATTACTCTCCAACATAAATAGAGGAGATTATATGAGTGCCCATGTCATACTATGTTTACAACACGCGAGTGCCTAAATGTTGGCATTTCCCGAGCGAGAGCGAGGGATATACCGATATATAGGCAGGAGTGTCGTCAACATAGTGTGATATGGGTACGAATATAATATTCTGTTCATTACCGAAGTCGTTAAATTGAGGAAAATAAACCCAAATCTACTTTCAAACACAGGCTGGCTGCCCGTCGTCACCACATGTAGAACGCAACGTCACAGAAGAAGCGTGACGTTATAGCCTTGTTCATGACTTCACGTCACCATGACAAAGTGATATTTTGCCCTAGGGCATCGTATGAAAAATATTAACCCCGATATGACTGCCCTCGTAAGTAATAAATATTGTTAGAAACTGCCTACAGTGTGATGACTCTCAGCTTTCCGCGAGTCAAGCAAGGTCTAATACCACTGTGACAGAGATATTAGCATTGTGACGTCATAACTGTTCTAATATGACGTCATACCTCTAGCGGTAATACACTAGTGTAATAATGCCGTGAAAATATTACACTGCAGTATCTTCCAAGGGCGAGTAATAAATGTCATTCTGGAGCAGGAATTTGGTAAGGACGTGACATTGGAATAAAGACATTCCCTGAATCCCACAGACACATCGGCAGACAGTGCCCTATGTCGCCTCCATGGCAACACGGTTTTCTAGCTCAGCGAGTGCGTAAAAGCTCCGCTCACTGGTGTTTCATCTCCTCGAGCTATGTCATTGCATAAGCCTAACGATGTCGAGAGTTTCCAATAGTTGTATACCGGCGGATGCGCAAATTTTTGCAAGCACCAGTTTGAAATTTTTCTTTTTTTCACTAATATGCTCATATTTATTTGTATTACGGGGTGCTGAGGTGTTATGTTTTGTGTATTATTGTATTTCGTATTTTTAAAATTTAGCGAGAATGCGTTACACCGGTCTATATTATATATATTCGATTATTCGCAATTTTGGTCAATGTAATTATTTAAATTATGTAAATTTATTTTATATTTCGGTTTCTAAGTAACTATTAAGTCTAAATGATTTACCAATGTGAACTGACATACATATTTATTATTTTCATTCAGTAATTTGCACCATTACATAAACAAGTTTTTTATTTGTATTTTATTTTTCAAAGCGGTAATAATGTATTACACTGTACACGTTAGTCATGTTTGTGCCGGTTCGGTCCATGCATTCTATTTATTAATATTATTTCAAGGGTTCGGGTTAAGGGCACAACACTGGACACGTCAGTCATGTTTGTGTCGGTTCGGTCAATGCATTCTATTTATTAGTATTATTTCAAGGGTTCGGGTTAGGGGCAATACACTGTACACGTCAGTCATGTTTGTGTCGGTTCGGTCAATGCATTCTATTTATTAGGATTATTTCAAGGAGTTAGGGTTAGGGTTAGGGTTAGGGTGAGGGCTGAGGGTTTAGGGTTTAGGGTTTGTCCGTAGATTAAAATCACGAGACACCAAGTCTACCCGTAACCTTCGTAATTGTCCGTGACCTGTTCGACTCTTTCCGTTCATTTCCGTGACGTCACAGGAATGACGCGAAAAATGTGCACATTGTGCAACAGTGTGGACTTAGCTCAGTCGGTTAGCTGTCGAGCTAACAATCCGAAGGTCGCGGGTTCGCGTGCGACGGGTTCTCACAAACTGGTTGCGAGTCTTAATGACACGTGATCTACGGCAGGGATCGTCCCCACGAGAAGCTGTGGTTCTGTATTCTAAAGGTGCTCCAAAATTAAGATTCAGCGGCAATCGTAACCCTTATTTAAGTGTTGTTCATTATCAAAATATAAATTTCTTCCACTCGTGATCAATTCCTTAGAATTCTTTTACAAGTTGTATGGATATTCAACAGTGGTATCTCGTGTTACACGGATTACAGTGATATCATAGGGTATCACTACACCTTCTCGGGGTATTACGAAGCTAACGGAATGAGCCGAGAGATTCCGAGTGCCTGCCAGTGTCAGTGACCAGTATTTTCAGTTCACCTGAAACGTGAGAGGTTGGGATATGAGTTAACTTTCACCGTTCTTTAGTTGGTTATTTATATTTTTGTGTTTAAACATCTGCCTGTTCTAGTTTGGGAATAAGCAAGTATACATTTACAACTTTCTTTGAAACAAATAAATATTTTGCGTTTCTCATTACATTGGCTAATAGAGTTTTCTTTTCTTAGCTCCGCAGCCAAAGTGATTCTTTACCAACTATTCCGAGGTCCCCGAGCGCCAAGTCCGTGCCCGTTTGCTGTTTAACTGGAGACTTTCCTCATAATGGCTAAAATAGAATACACAATGAGTATTTATAGTAAAGCAGCTATAAGTAATATATATTTAAATACACCCAACCCTGATGTGAGTGACGCGAATACATAAATTAAAGTTATGAATGAAAGCTTAAGACTGTTTGCTGTAACACAATTCCTGAAATTCACTGTCAATGACATAGGCTGAAATTATTTTGTTCACAGTGAACGGGAATTGTCCGTTGTAGGAGGATGGAGCATGTGCCTGCTGGGGCGGGGTATTGATGTGGTGAGGTTAGGGGCAGCCAACCCTCTGTTTGTTTGACATGTTCATAAGAGGTGCCACACATAATATTATTGTTAAATGGTAATAGTTAGATACGCGGATTCCTAAAACCTATATATACATATACGTTTCTTATTCCTATAGCTACACGATTTGGATTTTAAGCAATGAGATTAATATAACACACTAGAAGTCATAATAGGCATGAAGTCAGCAAAACTAATGTTCCTCTAATCACTGCATTAGCCAAGTTTGTAAAAAGCCAAGGCTGGATATCTGCGGTAAAAATATTATCTTCGCACAATCGCTAAATGCCTCCCAGAATGTTCCATACTATGGTCTATGCTATTCCAGGGTTTTACATCTGACTATTCCAAACCACTGCTACATTATACAGTAATATGTTCAGACAAATTCTATGGTTAAAACATAATGTTATGAACGGGTTACGGAGAAAACGGACCCCAGCGGAAATGGACCCCAAAAATCGAGAAAACGGCCACCGCGATGCAGAGAATGGCCTCCGAACCTAGAGAAAACGGCCAACATAGTTGCACGAAGATCAAAGGAGATTATATGATTATATATATCCTCAATAAAAGAGATTTACTTCATTGCGAATAAGCCTTTAAAAACTGATTGATTTGGTTGGGTTTTTTTTTTATTCAATATCCATAGCGGTTTAGACAAGTCTTGTCTAGGGATCCGAGATTCGGCGTGAATAGTTTCTGATGAAGACCAGAAACCTTGGGTAGTTTGTTTGAATGAAGAATTATGAACCTTAGCGAAAACACAGCACAAAACCTCCCTGGTTTTCAGCGACGAGATAGGGGCCTAAGAACAGACTTTCTACCCTACTAAACTGAAGACGTCCCATAAGACAGATACACTGTTCAAAGTCACGTAAAACATCACGCACTCATCAAAGACACATTACAGAACGACTTCAGCGTGACACAGTCGTCCAAAGGCAAAATCCTCTGGATGAGATACGACGGAGAGGCTGTAGTGGACTCCCAGTTCTGTGTGGAGTATCTGAACCGGAAGTTAAACATTAACCTAAACAGTCACCTGACAGAAGAACAACGAGCTATTGCGCATGCGTTTAGGAAGATGGCGGAAGAGAACCTGTACTGGTGCGTTATATCATTCTATGAGCTATATTCATCATGAAGCTTCTCTGTGAAGATACTGAATATTTGTGCAGGGATTTCCTTGTAAATCTTAACATTTGGAGTGGAAAATAGATTTACAAAGCACATATTTTAACAGAAAGTCTGAAAGAATGTGTTGGTTCCCCAAACATGTGAGCTTCTCCATTCAGAGAAAGCGCCGTTTGTAATGAATCAGTGACCAAATAACATTCACCCTGACAGTTATCCCAGGGACTCCAGACTATTAGATCATCGATCTCTTAGTTTTGTCAGGATCCGCTTCTAGTAGGTTCCCTTGGCATTAAGGGCCGGGCGGAAGCAAAAATGGGGCGATGGTGAAGCTTAGCGCTTAAAGCATTCGCTCGTCACGCAGAAGACCGGGTTTAATTCCCCACATCGGTATAATATATATTCATGCCAATAATGGTTGTCACCCCCTCGCTACTCCTCATCAACACCCACACACCTTCACCCCACCACACCCTCCACAATTACAAAATTGAAGGGGGTGACAACCATTATTGGCATGATTATATGACTGCTCATCTCTGATGTACTCCCGCACAGCCATAGGGAGGAAGTCAAAATGATTATCACTGCCGCATGGTTGATGAGAGAGGTTATTTTCCAGGTGTATGGGGATGGCTAGAATGGAAAATCCGGAGTTTATGACAACTATGTCCGGAAATAGGTTCAACAAACTATTTATTTGGTATGGTATACGCGCGTATCGGAACCAAATGAAAGCTCAAGGAATCGGACGACACTCCCATGAAGAAATCCTGCATATTATGGAGGGTGATTTGAGATCACTGTCAGTCTACCTAGGTAAAGAATGCAAGGCGGGCTGTCTTTGACTTCAGCATAGATAAGTTTGTGTTGGCCAACATTTGCTTTGTGTTTGTGCTTCCATACGATGCCATTCAGAGTTGAGGACATCTGTGGGGCTATAAATTGTTGTCTATTTTGTATCATCATTTTTAGTGTAACGAAATAGATATTCCATGGAGATTGTTTGATGATTTGATTGATTGATGAGTTAATTGTTTATTGATTGATTTATTTTTTGTATTCATTGGCGATGTAATTGATTGAATGAATGACTGAATGAATGATGAATTAATTGATTTATTGATTGATGAATTGATTGTTTTTTATTGATTGATTGATCGATTGATCGATCGGTTGGTTGATACGGTAAATGTATATTCCTTTATTACATTTTTCAGGAGATAAGAAGTTCTTTTTCGGCGATCAACCATGCGAGACAGATGCTGCTTTGTTTGGACAGTTGTCGCAGATTTACTGGCAGTGTCCAGGAAGCAAAGGGGAACAACTCTTGAACGGTAGACCAAAGGAGTTATCTCATCTTTGAAGCATTCTTTGAAGAACCCCTAGACTACGCCATAAAATCCGTTCAAACAATATTTCCGGTCCTTTCATTTCTATACAAAGGCATATATCATTAATTTGTTTTGGTTAAAGGGATAAATGGTCTGGGATTTTCTTGAACAGTTATCATATCATGCTGAACCCGGAATTATAAGAATATGCATCATGACATGTAAACATAAGATAACGTCATTTACGTAAGTTCAGATCCTGTACAACAGTTCTCTTTCAGAAAGATTCTCAAATTTGATTTGCATGAATATGTATGAACATAAGGAGGGAAAAGCTATGTCCTAACATTTTAAACTAAGTGGTTCATACCAAGAGGAAAAGACGTGTGAAATATCATCCTCCCGTTCGGCTTTCTTTCAGAAAAGTTCACAAATCTGGTGGAGTATTGCGAACGAATGAAGGTGGTATTTTGGCCGGACTGGGAGGACTGCATCACTAAAACTGCAACAAAATGACACGAGAACTTATTAAATGGTCCTGATGAACGTCAGTTGTTAAACTGGAAGTTAATGATGGTCCACGTTGCATGATCCTAACGTCGTTGTAATCCTCTAAACAAAGATGTCAGGGTCAAAATAAGAAATGCATGAAGATACCACACCAAACTAGAACGCACACTAAACTGATGTAAATGACGTTTATTGCTGATGAATAATGTGACGTCATTATTCTTGAGTAAAGGTGATTATTTGCCAAATGGGATTTCTCTGTTGCAGTCTTTAACATTTTTGAAAAGATACAATTAAAATGATGTCCCTCTCATTTGCCTGTAAAACACTAACGAGTTATTTGGTCTTTGCATTTCAGACACAAGCATGATTTGTTTCCAGACGTGTGAGACATGACGCTGACATTCATCATCATCCAAGATTCAACCTGAAACCTCAGGGCACGGTAGCAGCGTGGTTAAAGCGTTGACTCACCATGCCGAGAGGTCCGGGTTTGATTCCCAACATGGGGAAATGTGTCCAATATGTTACCAGAAAGATGTAAATAAAATACGTGATATCGAATAAATTACTCCACACCTGAAATTACTAATTTGATTAAAGGTCAGGGCTGATATTCTCAAGGACGAACGTTTTGACAATAATGAACTATGTTTATCCATAGCAAACTTTTAAGAACATGGCGCTTCAAGAATGGAAGAATTTTGCCTTTTGGAATATACATATGTGTGTCAGTGTCCAGGAGCTAATAAAGAACTATGAATAATCACGATGAATATGATTGTATAAATTAAGTGATCTGTGATATTTTGTTCCAGTAAGCCATGGCGTCAAGAGTGAGTTCTTGTTGAAGAGTACATGGCGCCTTACCGTAAACAGCTGAGAGAACACGCGGGTGTCTGATCTTCATGTACTCTGCAATCAGTATGTGCGAGTATATTTTGCAATGTTGTGGTTGTGAAACAGGCCCGTCAGGTGTTGGTATTCGGAACACATATCCACATGACAGCAAAATGCTACATCCAGTGCAACAAGCTGACATGAAAGTGGTGCCATCTTTTGATGGAGTTCTACCTCATGTGCGTGTGACAACAGAAGAAGAACACTTTCAAACGTCTTCAACAGATTGACTACATTATACCAATATGCATGTGGCGTTCGAGGAACCTCACTACGTGCATGCTACACCCATCAACCTCGCTATAGTTCCAGCAATAACCTCTCCAGGGGTTTCATTAACATGCATGTCACACCTAACAACCTCTCGGTTTCATTATTAATGTGCACCTCTACACCCAAAAACCTGACTAGACTTCAGAAACCTCCACGTCAGACCAAGCCACTTCACTAGACTTCAGAAACCTCCACGTCAGACCAAACCAATTCTCACTAGACTTCAACAACATGCTTCCCTCATCAGACCTCATTAACTTCAGCCATGCAATGTCATACACCCACAACATTATGCTTACAATAATGCCATTTGAAGTAAGCGATCAATGCAACATATGTTATATTTGGGATTACACTTTCTTAGTAAATCACAGTTTCTTGTACTCTTGGATTTGAACCCACACAACTCCAGAGTCAGGACCCAATCGCCAACACACACAAAGTCAGCCGCCTAATCCACTCAGCTATCGCGACTTCCAGTCTGTGTATCATTTGCCTTCGGCCGTGGGAGCCGTAAAGCTAATTTACACTTATCAGAGAATTACACAAAGTCCGCGATCCTACGACTGCCTTGATTCCATTTGTGGAAGTCGTGGTGATATGACATATGTAATATTATGAGCAGTGTTCAGTATCATCTACCATCCCACCCTACGACACACTAGACATCCGCAAAATGCAGGCCAGTATCACAACAACCTTCACAAGACTTCGGCAACGTGGCATGCCAAACCCAGCAACCTCCTTCCACTCACAGCAATATGCATGTCACACCCAACAGCCTAAATAGTCGTCAGTAACATCTATATCCCACCTTTTTAAATACTTTCTGGACTTCAGCAACGTGCATGCCATGTCCATCAAGTTCACTAGACCTCAGCAACGTGGCATGCCACACCCAATAACTTCCTAGAAGTAACAAGTAGGTCATGCCCAACAACCTCACTAGAAATCAGTAACATGGAACTCACACCCAACGAGCTCAATAGGTTCAGTAACAAGCAAGTCACAACTAACAACCTCCCTAGAATTCTCCCCAATATTCACGTCACACTCAACAACATCGCTGGATTGCAGAAACATGCAAGTGACAACTAACAAACTCTAGACAAATAGCAAAATGCATCTCCACCCACACAACCTCATCACTATAAATAAATAGCATCCAGAGTACACCCAAACAACATCAGGGGCAACTACCCCATGTTGGACGGAATCACACAAATGAAGTGGTTCAGTGACATGCCTGGTTTTGGCAGGGCTGGGTTAGTTTTGCACTAAGTTAGGGTTCCTGTACTCACAGACATGCCACTGCCACTAGGTGGTTCGTCACTGTTACAGCAGATATGAGTGTCACGTACGTGTACCCCTTCAGTGATATGTCTTAACTCTGATTCAACTACAACGGTGTGTAAATCTGACGTCACTTATCAAAGTGACGCCCTGCACCACAAAGGTAGTGTCGATATTGTGCCACATGCTCATCCACAGAAACATAATTTTACACGTACTGCACTAACGAACCCATAAGATAGATAAGAGGCAATCTAAATGTATCTGGAGATCAGGGCTGGGCTGATTCAGTTGATGTTTGTCCTCGTATCGCAAAAGCGTTCATGAATGCTCTATCGCAGATTACATTGTCCGCGATTCGATAATTAACAGACAGCCGTTATCCAGGTTGGGACAAAGAATCAGGTACAAGTACAAACCAAAACCTCACTAATGAGTGTTGAGGTAGTGAGGTATGAGCGCGCATCTGACGAGCCTGTAAAACAGTTTGGCCATGAGGCTATAAAATGCCCTATGATGTCAGAGTCTCCAGGCATAACACGACCCAGATACGCCGTGGACTTTGGATTCCTCATGTCACTGTCGTTATCACAAGACTTCGTAAACTTGCGGTTGACGGTATCTCCAAGACTGAGTAGTAGGTGTACAGTTAGGAGGGGTGACATGCATTAGAGTTGAAGGTAGCAGTCACGATGTGTGCACCTTATATCACGTGCGTGAAATATACGTGTGTATATGCACGTGTAAGTTTGTTCTGGTGGGTTTGTCTTTGTGTGTGTGCATGTGTGTAGGTGTCTCTGTCCGATCTATGTAAGCATGTATGTATGTGATAATGTACATGCGTGTACGTGCGTATGCGTGTACGTGCATCTATCTGTATGTGTGTGCCTGTGTCTGTGTGGGATTGTGTCTGTGTTTCTGTATTGTGTACGTGTGTTATTCCCATTTTATCCCTTTAAATACTGAGAGTACATGAGGCATCATGGTATTGCTCTATTCACTCAGCTAAACCATTGCACAGAAGATGGAAGAATGTATCTATATCAGACAACATGCTCTCCTGGTGATATTTGCATGAGCTATTATAGAATGCAAGAGTGTTTCAGGTTTTGACTGACTTCATCATAGTATAGTTACACATACAGCCTTCCTGGCTTGATTATTGCCGCTCATTTCCCAATACAAAGGAGCCCTGACAGATGACATTTGATGAAGAACTTGTCACTAAACTGAGAGTGATAAACCCTGACCCCGTTTGGAGTCGTAATGGTTAGTTTAAGACACTACTCTGAAACTCTCATGGACGTGGGGGAGGTGTGTACGTGTGTGTGTGTGTGTGTGTGTGTGTGTGTGTGTGTGTGTGTCTGTTCGAATGTGTGCGCAGTGTCTGTGTGTTCATGTGTGTGTCGCTGAGTGTGTGTGTACGTGTTTGTGTGTGTGTCTGTGTCCTCTCTCTCCCTTCCCTCCCTCCTCTCTCTCTCTTTCTCTCCTCCCTCTCCCTCTCTCCTCTCTCTCTCTCTCTCTCTCTCTCTCTCTCTCTCTCTCTCTCTCTCTCTCTCTCTCTCTCTCTCTCTCTCTCTCTCTTTCTCTCTCTCTCCTCTCTCTCTCTCTCTCTCTCTCTCTCTCTCCTCTCTCTCTCTCTCTCTCTCTCTCTCTCTCAGTGACCTTGCATGGTTGTTTTCAATTAACGTGACTACATGAGTACATGCTTGTGCAATGCAACCTGAGACGCTTAAATCACTAATGATAGAGAGCTAAAGTTCTAATATAATATGCATTGAGATACGCGAGTTTTCACCATCATCGCGTGGTAACCGAACCGACCTTCAACCATGTTTTACATTCTGACCACAGAGTAGGCTTCATGTATACATTATTCTAACCGGACAAGGAAATCTCACGAGCTTTTGCAGTTTACAAGATGGCCGAGGATTCAAATACATGTCGTTGCTAAGGACATCTATCTCCTCAATCTGTTTCTGTAATGGTCTAGGACAGTATGGTGTCTGTCCTAAACAAACTGGAACAGCTTGATGAGGATCTGCTTGATAATAGATGGATATGCTCGCTATGGAGAAAAGGATACTCAAACACCATAGATGCTTGTCAGGGCATCCCTTGAGAGCTGAGTTAAAGGAGAAACACATACGGGAAGAAGCTGGCAGAGGAAGCCATGGCCGCGATTCTACAAGGAGAGTCTCTTCAAGACATGGTGAAAAGTCAGGTTGTTCCCCGGAGGTGCGGCATCTGTGGAAGCCAGGGCTACCATCAGATGAAGGAGACAGTTACACCGTAATGTCTCAACATCACTCAGTGATTTCCAGAACGAGACGACCGTATTTCACGACTCTCTCCTGAAGAGCGGGTATGCCGAATCGAGAGAATTCGTGTGATTTCTGTATCAGAGAGAAGCATAAACTGGAAAAGTACTACAGACGTGTGACGCTTACCACTGCTAATCTCAAATCCTCAAAATTACGACATTAAAAGGAGACACATCAGTCTCAAATATCAACAAAGCTGACATCAAATGTCTGCGGTGTGTCTCCTTCTACCCCAGCCCTCCTCTAGATAAAGCACCAGCCTCCAGGACATCTGTGTCAACAACGACACTCAGACCAGAGGAGGAGAAAAGTAGGATTTTGATAGCTCC